TAAAAATTCTATAGCTGATTTTTTATCTAAATTTGAGATTTCAAGAATTAGTATTGCATTTTTTTGATAGGCTTTTAGATATAAATAAAAGAAAAGACTATGTCTGCCTTTGTTGCTTTCTATAAAATTAGTTTTACAGAAAGATTTTTTAGCTTCAATTGCAAGATCATCTAAGGTTTTAGTTGGAATTGGTTTTGAAAAAGTAGCTTTAAGTTTGCTATCTTTAAAAAAGATTGAGTCATCTATTTGGATTTTTTTTGTTGGTCATTCATCATAGGATTCATTGAGATATTGTTTATATAGTTAGCTAAAGTTATACTAAACATGGGTTTTAGATGGTGCTGTATTTTGTAATTCAGATTCAGTTATAGGTAATTTGTCCTTATTTTTGTATTCAATTTTTTCTAGATATTGATATTGAGTGTTTGAGCAGGTAAGGATATGATGGTTAGTATGTTTAATGCATTCATCATGACATTCTTAGAAAGAGAAAAGCTCCATAAATGAAACCTCTTTTGATATTTGTTTTTTAAGATGTGAGATAAAGCATTGTCTGAATTGATATTTAAAAGAGTTATACACTTTTGTTTCATCAAGAGTATCTTTAAATTATCAGTTGTATTTTGGAAAAAAGAATTTGTACCATTTATTAAAATGGTCTAATAAGCTTTTAAAGATAGTATGTTAAATTTGGGTTTACCACAAAATCCTGACATCCAAAATCTCGAAAACCATAATCTTGACGTGACAATTAGTATTTAACGATTAGTAATTACATTAACAATCATTGTTAGACTTTAAATTTTTAATTGTTACGTCAGGTGATACCTGTATTATGGCCTGTCAAGATTTTGGATGTTGGGATTTTGTGGTAAAACCATTAAATTTTTGTAAAAATAAAGTCTTAAGTATGTTGAAGTTGAGTTGGATATTAAATTTGCTATCCATATATATTTTAATATATTGATCATCTTTATCATAGTTGATAATTTGTTAAATCGTTTAGAGTATAATTACATGTCTTTTGCAAATTTATTATAATTAATTATCTGGTACTTATTGGAAAAATATAAGCGTAACTGTGCAAGATTAATACAAAATTGTAGATAATTTTGTAATTTATATGGTAGGACTGTAGCTAGTGAGGCAAATATCTCTAAATAATTAAGTTTGATAAAAAGAACAGTTGTAAAAACTAAAATAAGTTTTTTAAGTATTTCTTCTAGTATAGCAAATAGAATAGTGAAGGTTTTGTTAACCTCTAGATTGTGTTCTTATATAAAGTCTGTTAAAAATTGTATCTTTCTCCTGCTATTTTGCAAATAATTTGGTAAAAGCTTGCTTTAAAAGCTTTGTGATTTTCTGTCACTGCTCTAATTTCCTTATCATGATAGAAGTCAAATAGGTGTAATTTAAGAAAGTGAAAAATTTTTTAAACAAGTTCAGTTTGGAGTTTAGTATTCTTTTCTATTTCTGGTATAACTGTGAAATTAGCTAACCAGGCATGTGTAGGTTTGTCTTGGTCTGTTGTTGAATTTGAATTATCATTTTGTTGGTTTGAATCAGCTTGTTGTAATGTATTGTTAGTTGTTTCAGTTAAGCTAATTAAGGGTTGATGATTAGTATTTCCTGTTAATATTTGTTGTTGAAAGGAGGTATTGTCTGTTTGTAAAAGAGATTGTTTGAGTGTTGTGTTATTTAGTTGTTGTGATTGCTAAAGATTAGCATTTGATTGTGTAGTAGTAGTAGTTTGGTCTTGTTGCATTTGAGAAGTATTATTTTTGGTGGTATTGGGTTTGAGAAGTTGTGATTGCTGAGCTTTGTGGTTTCTAGTAGTAGTTATAAGTTTGTTAGTAGGTTGTTATAATATTGCAAATTGTGTTGTTTGTGTTAGCTGTGATTGAGTATTCAATGTTTGGGTTAGATTATTTTTTATTAGTTTTTGATATTCCTTATAAGAAATAGATTGTGATGGTATTGCTAGTTGTCGAGATAATTACTGTTGTTGAGTGGTTGTTATTATTAAGAGATTCATTATCAATTTCCATTGCTAAAGTATCTTTTAAAGGAGTTAAAGAACTGAGTTCTGAGGCCAGAGGGTTAAATAAATGAAAATTATAAAGTGATTGTTTAAGTTTTGCAAAAAATTCTGTATTTTTGGAGGTTTCATAATGTGGGTCTGAAATATTTTCTATACAGGATTTGTAATATGATTTATCATCATATAGTATAGTATTATTTGCTAATTGATGTTGATTATTGGTAACTTTACAGTTAATAGATTGGTTACAGAGTGAACAGCTATATTGGTGTAGTGTAGAAGTTGGAGAAAAAGTTGGAGAAGGAGGACCAATACAGTAGCATCTGCAATTTTAAGAGCCAGTTCTTCTTTCTCTTTTTTATTAACAATTTGAATATTAGTAGCTTTTTTATATATCTTGTTTTCTTTAGAGATAAAGTAAGTATGATATTTGCTATATAGACATTTAACAATAGATGTAATTGTTAGAGCTTCAAAGCAATGGCAAATCTTAGTTATCTTTTTAAGTTCTGTAGAGATATATTTAGTTAGTTTTTTGTTTGCCAGAATAGGTCTAGAAATATTTGAAGAGTCTTTATAAGTCCTAATACCAAAGCTATTGTAGTATGTATTATAGAAATAGTCAAGATTTACAGTATCATGTTCTATGGTAATTAAGGTAGGCATTGTATTTATAAGTTTGCTTAAAAACTTGGTAAAATTTTTCTTAATAAAATTTGAAGAAATGGAGCTTAAATAGTTGTTACAAGATTATTTTATATTTACAAAGTATTATTATGATTACTGTGGCTCATGTAATATTGTATAACCTATTTGGTCTATAGTTGCACAAGTTATATGTTATACAAGTCACATATTACACAGATTACATATTACACAAGTTGTATAATTGGGGAAAATTTAGGTAATATTGCTAAATTAATTATAGAATAAACAAAAAATGCAGTAATTAATTTGTATAAATTAATTGTAGAATGGATTGCCTAAAAAGGATTGTTTATGTTTCTAATATAGTCAGGTGTAAACAAATTGAAAATACAGGTCCAAATATTACACAAAAACTGATTTTAATAGGGTAAACTAAAAAGAAACTTTTTAAGAATCTAAAGAGTAAAAAAGAGAGTTTTGATATTTTCGATTCTAAAATGATCAATTTTTGGTCAAATTTTATGTACTATAGCTTGTTTTGAAGCCAGAGATAAGCTCTGTTATGTTATTAAGCCCAGTTTGTCAAGAAGGGCAAAACTTTGAAAAGAGAACAGAATTTTGTCTATCTGTTCTTATAAATTAAATATCTCAAGAATAATGAGAGATACAGATTTGAAACTTTACAAATATATATAAAAATAGTAGCTGAACAACTTTACTTAAGAGCCAAGATGTTATTAACTTAATAAAATTTTCCTTAAATTGAGAAAAATATAAAAATTATTGTGATAAAATTTTGTATATAAATGATGAGCAGAAAGAGTTTCTTCAATTATTCTAAATAAAACTAGTCATTAATATAGCTACAACTACAAATATACATCTCACAGTATACAACTACATCTGTTACTTAAAAAACTAGGCCATTTAATTAAAAATCTTAAAAATATTAACTTAACTTCAGACATTTCTTCTATTAATTCACAAATTTATAATAACAATTCATGATTCTAAAGCAATCTTCAGCTTTTCTTAAGCTCAGACTCTGGCCAAGTCTTAGAATAGATCAAACATGCCCAAAACATATAGTGTCAACTATAACAGACATAACATACTGAAAACTCTCTTTTACTTTGCTAACAAATTCAACAAGTTCTAAAAAAGATGTGAAACTCTTGTTAGCAAACCTATACAAGCTATAAATAGTATTTTTAATCCTTATCAAGCATCTATACACTTTTCAAATATCAAATTACGAAACCAACTAGTTACTGAGCCTACTCTTATTAAACAATATATTCAAAACTATTTCTACAACTGGACTGCTTATAAACCTATCAATCAAATCCTCTTTGATAGTTCTTGGCAACAAGAATACCTAGTACAAACTTATATTAATTCCAATTAGTATAGTTCTCTTATTTTGCCTATTACAATAGAAGAGATAACTTTGACTATTTCTAAGCTTCCAAATGGTAAAGTCTATGAACCTACTGATATCAGCTATGAAATTATCAAACATGCTGGCTTCACATTTTTCAAGCACTTACAGTTCTCTTTAATCTTTGCTTTACTCAAAGCCAAATTTCAAAACAATGGAAAAATAGCAGAATTTATCCTATCTCTAAGCATAATACTTTTGATGACAATTCTGATCTTACTCGACCAATTAGCCTAACAGTATGTAAATCACTAGTCAAAAAAATTTCACTATATCACATGACAGATGATCATCGAATCAGATTTTACAAATTTTAATATAACAAAATTAGCAAAGATAAATTATTACGTATTAGAAATGTTTATTTGAAATTGAGTACAGCGACAATCTCTTAAATAAAAATAAAATTAAATAATAAATCCTATAGAACTTTTAGATTAGTTTCATTCAAATTGATTCTCAAGAAGTCTTTTTATTTGAACCTTATTAATTTTATGATTTTAATATAGTTAAATTAATATTAAACCCTCAATTGTTGCGAAAAAGGTTTAACTAAAAAAAAAATAACATTCTGATTTTACACTTTACAGCTAGATTTTAAATTCAGAATGTATTATGGTTTTGACCCCTCCAAGTATTTTGAATTTTTTGTCGTTTATTATACTTTTCACAATTATCTACCATCCTTCGCAAAGAATTAAAATTCTTATCACTAGCATTAATCCATTGTTTGGCATTGGGTTGTTGAGAATTTTCTTCAATAATAGATTTGACATGCTCTATTAACGAGTAAAGTTCTTCTTTTTTATGGCTTATACGCTTCTTATTATCTAGTTCTTGTTCTAAAATTATTAGAAGTTTTTTTATTAGAATTAAATTACTAGAAATATCTACT